GAAACCGACCTTGTGCGGAACTGACGTTGTGCGGAACCAGGAATTGATCCCGGGACCTCCCACTCCATCTACAGCAAAGCATCCCGAAGCAAGCACCTTCTACCTGTCTCTTTAAAAATCTTTCATGTTTAACATGACTCCCCAACGGCTCTGGGCAGAAGGTGAGTCGCTCCCCAATTTTGTGACTCATCGCAGCTCTTCCAGGCCTCAATTCCCCCCGGAAAGAACTGGGGTGCTTCGCCTCAGTTGGACTCCGGAACCTCCAAGAACTCGGCCTCGCTGACCGCTTCGTTGAACCCATTCAACCATCCCGTAAGTAATCACCGCTAACCCAAGCCGCCACACTGCTTTATATAAGTGCTCCACTGTCACCATTTCGCCTGCCCGTGCATGTTCCCTGCGCGCTTCCCGGTGAGCTCATCTAAAGCGCAGGCTTTCTGGCTTGTGCTCACCAGGGTGGGGTGGGGCTCAACGCTGTGTGCTCACTAGGGTGGGGCCCGCTGATGGCTAGTGTGTTGTTGTTGTAGTGACCTTGTCATACGTGTGCAACCAACAGTTGCAGTCCTTACGCGCCGGGCAGGATTGGAACCGCCGGCAGGGCAAGTAGATGTAAGGGATTGACTGGTTAGTAACCGAGAACGAACGGCGACGGCTCAGCTAGTGACAATTCGACGGACGGACAGACGGACGGACGTGTTTCAATGAAGGCCTTGTTAAAGGCGAGTTCTGCGTTGTGGTGTCTAGGTGTGTGTGTTTGCACCCACGCACACACACACGAGAAAGCCCAGTGTGCGCAAGTCCGGGACGGGGCATAAGCCCAGTCCGGGGCTCAAATCCGGGGTTCAAATCCGGGGCGGGAATTGTAATTTAGTGGGACTTAGGTAGCTAGTTTTAATGTTAATAGAATGCAAGTCAAAAAACCATTGAGGTGCAGGGAGTTTCTGGGGCCTCCTTGTTGTGAATTCTCTTGGGTCTCAGGCTACCTGCCCGCACCTGCTAGAGACGACTTTGATTCTGGAGAGGAGTGTGATTCTGGAGACGAGTGTGATTCTGGAGTCAAGTTCCAAGGCGACAAACGGAGTCACGAAAAGTGGAGGCACGACAAGTGGAGTGATATGTCGTCAGATTCGTGTTGTCGGTTGTGTCGGAGTGCATTGGAAGGTTGTCGAGAGATGGCTAACTACCCGAGTACACATATAGACGCTTATGAGATTGAGGTGATAAGTGAGGCGAGCTCGGAAGAAGAGGCGGAAAAGGAGAACGCGACTTACTCGTTCGACTTGATCAAGCAGGAAGACTTGTTTAGTAGACTGTGTTCACCCTCGAGCGAGGCACAGGGCTCTTCGCCACTGTACTCTAATAAGTGCTCTGTCATCGGCTCCACACTTGGCTCCATTGTGAACTCCTCAAGACTACACTCCCCCGCCTCCCTCCTTTCCCCCGGCCGTCAGTCTCCTGGTCCCGGTCAGTCCCCCGGAGGTTCTGGTCGTCAGTCCCCCGGAGGTTCTGGTCGTCAGTCCCCCGGAGGTTCTAGTCAGTCCCCCGGACGCTCTAGTCGTCAGTCTCCCGGACGTCAGTCCCCCGGTCGTCAGTCGCCCACAGCGTCATCGTGTCTATCACCAGGTCGCTGCGGCCAGGCGGAGGTGGCGCGTCGGCGGCCACCTTCTCGGCGACGGTCACCTTCCCGGCGAAGGTCTCGACGTCGGATGCCGTTGTCGGAGCCGCGACTGGACATCGTACGTCAAGTGCTGCCTTCACCGCGCCCGGCTGTGCGTGAGTGTGCGTTCGCGGCCAGCCTCGGGTCGCGCAATGGCAACCCTCTGGCCGCTGACGCGGTCAACGCCTTCTGCTATACACCTACCGCCGCCGCTCGAGAAGCTTTCCCCGACTACCGCTTTCTCGCCAAGGCCGTCGGCCTCGGCGCCCGCCGTGCCCTAGGGCCCCACTGGATCGACCAGAGGACCGGCAGCCAACCCCGAAATCTTCTGGCCGGTGACCCTCAAGCAAACACTCAAAGAGACGTTCAAAACATCCGTCGGGGCGACGACCAAAGTGGCGTGGGCGACCAAGGCCAAGGAACTCTTCTGGGTGACCAAGCACAAGGCGGCGCGGGCCAGAGGAGCGGCGTATTGGTGAGGCCGCCCGCGGTGCCGATGCTCGCCTACGCGCAGCTGGCAGGTGGCAGTGCTGAGGGACGGGGTCTCACGCGACCGCCGTTGACACTGCCGGGGATCGAACGCGCGACTCCGGCCATGCTAGACACCGTGCCGCCGCTGACGCCGCCTGGAGCGGCCGCGTGGCGGCGCGTGCAGCTCACTGACGACCGCCTAGCGTTAAACATGGCTATAATGAACTCCGCAAAGCGGCGGGTACTCAAGAAGAAAGTGCCGGCGGAAACAAACGGTCCCGTCCCGCCGGGCACGACGGATGCAGTGGGCCCGACGGAGCCAGTGGGCAAGGCGGAGGCAGTGGGTAAGGCGGAGGCAGTGGGCAAGGCGGAGGCAGTGGGCAAGGCGGAGGCAGTGGGTAAGGCGCACGAGGGTAAGGAGCGGGGGAGACGCACGAAGCAGAACACACCGCCGCCGGTGGTCGTGGCCGAGTCGCCTGGTGCATCGACCCTGGTGCTCTCTTCATTGAGCTGGAGTAGTTCCGAACGCTTTTTTCGCAATGAGATGCTTAATATTTGATGGAGTCTTCAGCGTCCTCTTCCTCCACACTGCCACCGCTCGGGGAGGAGGCCGCGGCCGAGGATGACCGCAGGGAGGCGAACCGGGAAGAGGACCTCCGCCGGGAGGACATCCGCACAGAGGAGACCCGCAGGGAGTATGCGCCTTCAGTCGGATCGGAAGCGGGTCCGCGGGACGACCACCGAGAGGACCACCGGGAAGCAGCCATGCGTGAAGCGACAAGCCAGGACACCGGCGTGAGTCAAGAGAGTGTGCTCTTGTCCATTTTGGAGATGTTGATGGTGCAGAGCGCTGAATGCCAGTCGTTGCACGCCAGTCTACGGGCCAGTCTGCGCCGACAGCGCGAGGATCTGGAGGCGCTCAGTCGTTGTCAAACGCGGCTCTACAAAACGCAGTGCGAAATGTTCAAAGCTGTCTTCGGCTATCTCGATAAACGTTCTGAACGCGGGCTCGTCGCCGATGGCACGCTCACTAAAGCAGCCGCCGCCAAGTCCACTGCGCTCTTCTGCATCGGGCTCCCCGACCTCTCCGGCGAAGCACTAAAGATCTACGCTGCAGCACTCGCCAAACTCGACTCCGACCTCGATCTTGCTGTCCCCGACGAAGCCCCCCCGGTCCTCCCCCCCATGGCCCTCCTCCCCATGGCCCTCCCACCCATAGCTCCCCTCCCGAGCGTGGCTATACCGCCCGTGGCCGTACCCCCCATGGCGGCGCCCCCCATGGCCCTTCCCCCAATGGTAGTCCCTCTCAGTGCAGCAGCCCCCCTCAGTACCGCCCCGTGTACCGCGACTTGCGTCCAGCCGCCGTCGGGGCCGCCTCCGGCGGCCCCTCCGGCAATCGTTTCGGCTCCCGTTTCCGCGCTCAAGACCGTCAAGCAAGAGTCCTGTGGACCCGGTCCCGGCTCCGGACTTGGAGCCAGTCCACCGGCTGCGGCGCGCAAGTTCAAAG